AGAGAGAGAGAGAGAGAGAGAGAGAGAGAGAGAGAGAGAGAGAGAGAGAGAGAGAGAAAGGAAGCGACAACATGGAGACGAAGGTTTGGCAGAAGGCTAACATGAGCAGTTAGAAAAGTTCAGACAAAACAGTGAAATTGAGGAAGGCGACGTTTGAGCAAAATGTCCTGTGTAACGGAAAGCTAGCAGCGATGGTAGGCGACTCGCTTCAATGGCGGTGGTGGAAGGAGCTTGAAGGACAAGGAAGTGAAAGCCCCTCGGAAGGAGAGACCGGGGTTCTGGACACCCTGGACCGGACCGGTGGAGGGTTGCTACCAGTAGTAGCAAGTAATAACAGCAGCTTCGGAACCCGATGAGCAGTTCTCATTTGGATTGTAGTGAGAAAGTGTGCACGGCATTAGCCAGAGAGTCTGCAGGTGCCATTAGCCCATTAGGGTTTAGGGTTTAAGTGTTAACTGAGTCAGGGGACTACAACCTGGAGGAGGGCATAAGGGGGGGGAGGGGGAGAAAACACTTGATTCGATTGGTGTGGGCGTCCTTCCCCAGAAGGTCTGTATGAGGGGGCACCACATCGAGAGGGGCAACGGGACGGTGCATTCTGGCTAGAGGTTCCGGCAATTCAGGCAGCTTCAGGCTGAGAGGCGAGAATGCAGTGTCCACATTGAAGCCAAGCTGGGTAATGAGATTGCAGTAAATCTGTTGTAAAGAGCATACTACAAGTAGAGAGTAGAATTAACACCATAGATTCAAAAGCATTCAACATGTAAGGGACGCGGGACCCGATTTCCAGGAGATGCTGCTCCCCACGAATGGAAAGGAGCCATCTTCTAGAAGGCCTCAATCCTGCTGGTTCATTAACCACCACAGGACCGCAGATCTTCATTGGATGTTTCAATTAACAAAAAAAACAGAAATCGGAAAAACGAATGTTTGCTTACACACCCCCAACGAGCCTAGGTCAATTAGTTCACCCATGAACTGTCGAATTACAGACCCACATTCAAGTCCTGATGGACTATCAAACATTTCACAAAAAAAATCATATTTGCTTACGTACCCTCTATCTGGTGAGAGCTCCCACCTCCAGCTGCTCATGACATCGGGCCACAGAGAAAAGTTCTCGATTTGCTGTCCCTTCACCGCGTCCATCACCTGGAAACATACGATCGCCATCTCGCTTCAGGACAACCTAGATCTTTCTCAGTCGCTACTTTTGTGGGGAATGCTGCCGAGGTGCACCCTGTGGGACTGTAAGCTAAACTGGCTGATGCTGCAGGGATAACTCCGGGTTGAATTCTGAGGTCCCCGGCCTCGCTTCTTTTGTAATAAATGTATGTTTCAGTATTTGCAACAACAAGTGTCAACAACAACAAAAAAGAAGAAGAAGAGGAAGAAGAGGAAGAAGAGGAGGAAGAGGAGGAAGAGGAAGAAGAGGAAGAGGAAGAGGAAGAAGAAGAAGAAGAAGAAGAAGAAGAAGAAGGCCATCACGCACGAAACACTTTTCAAGAGACACTAATGAGCTGAGGCTCTTGAGAGAAGTAACCCCCTTCCTTACCTTCAGTCAATTTTTCATGTTGACTGCTGCTCTGTTCTCCTCTTTCTTGCCAAAAAAAAAATATGTCTCCAACGTTGACTTGTGTTTAAATAATTTGAGCTTATTTATCGTTACGATGAAACGTAAGTCTAGAGTCTAAACTGTCTATCCCATGTTGTGTTTCCTATATTTGTTTCCAACTCTGCGGCGAGCCTCCGGAGGCTCGCTAGCAGCCTTTGTCGGCTCTCGCAAGAGTCGAGCCTCTTGGGATACGGTAAGGTATTGTTTTAGACATGCGTTGGGTCCAAGTTTGGGATTTGCACCAAGTTTGGAATTTGCATTGAACGTGCCCATTATGGTAAAAGTTCCAATGGGAATCCTTTGTGCTGTTTATCTCAAAAAAATAAGATGAAAATTCATTACATAGATTGAATTGCAGGCATTGCAAGTGCAGGAGTGGATGCAGCGGCCTAGCTCAGTTGGTTAGGCATGCAAGCAGCATTCAGGAGGTTGTGGGTTCAAGCCCCATAACCGCCTGCGGTGCACTGAGTGCCAACCAGCGGTGATAGTCCACTTGATACCTCTGATCGGTATTGGTAGGGTCATTGGCCAACGCGGTTGTGAGTGCGAGTGTGAGTGGGTTGTGTGTGGTGTGTGGGAGAGTGTTGGCCTTAGACACTGCTGTTATTCGGTTGGGGGTGGGGGACGATGAAAAGGGAGGCAAAACACTCCGTCTTTGCATTAGCCGGACCCCCACCGGCGGCCCCACCCCATCCTTGACCACCACTGTTGGGCCAGGGGGGCAACATGCATCCCCTCTGATGGCTGGAGGGAGGCAACAAAGCTATGTTCGCTGGGGTCCCCTGTATAAGCCTTACGACCATACTTGCAAGCGAACGCCGTCCGCACGGTTCCGCACGTGCGGCGGACCGCCGGACCGGACCCGCGTGGCGCACGAATGTGCGCCCGACGACCAGGTACCCCCCCCCCCCCCCCCAAAAAAAAACAAAAAGACGGGGGTCGAAACGGCAGTTTCGAGACCCCATTCGAAAAATGCAACTAGTACCGCCAAAAAAAAAATTCCGGCCTGCGCTCAAGGGCAGACCGCCTTGAAACCCCGACTCAGGGCATTACTCACTTGGTTTGAAACGCAGTCGCAGAGGAAAGTGCCGCCGGCCATCTGCTATTTGCGCCGTCCTGCCCGTCGCCGTCGCCATCCTGCTGCACCGCCGTTCCGCCCGTCGCCATCTTGCTCGTCGTTGCAGCCGTCGAGGAGTATCGTCGTTGCGGCCATCGAGGAGGAGGAGCCCGTCCCGCCCGTCGCCATACTGCTGTCCCCGACGGTGAGTGTCACCAGCCCGTCGTCCTCCTTCCCCTCGTCCTCCTCCGCTGCTCCTCCTCCTCCTCCACCTCCACCCCGTCTCCCCCCTCTTCTGCTTCTCCTGGTCTTCGTCCTCCTCCACACTTCCTCCCGTCGCCATCCTGCCCATCCGCTTCTTCTCCTCTTATCCCTCATCGTCCTCCTCTCCATCCTCGTTGTCCTCCTCGTCCTCCTCACTTCCTCCCGTTCTCCTCCTCCCCCTCATCGCCCTCCTCACTTCCTCCACAGCAACGGATAAAGCAGCAGGCTGCCATCTTCACCTGAGCAAAACGCATGGTCATTTTAGTTGTATTTGAGGCAATTACCGTCTTCACCCGAACAGGCTTCACCCCTGCGCCTTCACCCGAACGCACGGTCATTTCAGTTTGTATTTGGGCCAACTATTAGCAGGCTGCCATCTTCCCCCTCGTCCTTCTCATTTCCTCTCCAGATCCTCCCCGTCTGCTTCCCCTCCCCCTCCCCCTCGTCATACTCCTCTCCATCCTCGCCATCCTCCTCCCTTCCTCCTGTTCTCCTTCCCCCCCCTCCCACCCCTGTCGTTCTCCTCTCCAGGCCGTCGTCTTCCTCCTTCCCCTCGTCCTCCTCACTTCCTCGCGCCGTCCAGCCCGTCGTCCCCCAGGGCAGATAATAAGTTTGTTTTTTTCGGGTTCATCGGATCGATTGGATTTCGGGCGGGAAACGAGGGGGCTTCGTTCTCTTTTTCCTCTCGTTCTTCACTCGTCTGAAGGGGATAACTCGCACGTTGTGTGAAGGGGATTTCCATTAACTTCGGACCCCTCAGAGGTGTGCACTCCCCCCCAACAATGGCCCCTACCCTGCAGAACCCCCCCCCCCCAAAAAAAAAAAAAAAAAAAAGGGTCCCCCCCCCCCCC